CGTTGCGAGGCCCGGTGCCAGATGCCGGCGCGCCCCATGGTGAGCGTGTCCAGCAGCGCACCCTCTACAACCGCGTCAAGACAGGCCAGATCGCCAACGCGCGCTGCCCTGCCACAGACCCCTTTCTTCAGCCAGACGAGCGCGGCCGTTCACGTCTTCTGCATCGTGCCTGTGGTCGGATCGCTCTGCTTCGGGTCACCTTCGCCACCGTACTCGCACCTCTTCCTCATTGAGCATGCGAGCGTCTTCAAGTAATCACAGAGCGGGCCCGATGATCTTCTCTCCGGACCTGCGTACTCTTCGTGTCGAGGTGGGCGTACCTAGTGCGGCCTGGTGGGCGGCACGAGAGGTGCGTGCAGGCGGGCGGCGGACGCGCACGGGCGCGGGGGCGCGGCGTGCGGCGGCGGGAGCGGCGGCGCGCGGGCGCGGGCGCGGGCGGCCCGGGCGGGCGCGGCGAGTACGAGGAGCTGGGCGCGGTGGAGCAGCACGTGCGCTATGAGACCACCGGCCCCGCGCTGTGCACCGTGGTCTTCTTGCTAGTCTACTTCTTCGGCATGGCCAGTTCCATCTGGTGGGTGATCTTGTCGCTCACGTGGTTTCTGGCGGCCGGCATGAAGTGGGGCAACGAAGCCATCGCCGGCTACTCGCAGTACTTTCACCTGGCCGCATGGCTCGTGCCCAGCGTTAAGTCCATAGCGGTGCTGGCGCTCAGCTCGGTGGACGGCGACCCAGTGGCGGGCATCTGCTACGTGGGCAACCAGAGCCTGGACAATCTGCGCGGCTTCGTGCTGGCGCCGCTGGTCATCTACCTCTTCATTGGCACCATGTTCCTGCTGGCCGGCTTCGTGTCGCTCTTCCGCATCCGCTCAGTCATCAAGCAGCAGGACGGCCCCACCAAGACGCACAAGCTGGAGAAGCTGATGATCCGCCTGGGCCTGTTCACCGTGCTCTACACCGTGCCCGCGGCAGTGGTGGTCGCCTGCCTCTTCTACGAGCAGCACAACCGCCCGCGCTGGGAGGCCACGCACAACTGCCCGTGCCTGCGGGACCTACAGCCTGACCAGGCGCGCAGGCCCGACTACGCCGTCTTCATGCTCAAGTACTTCATGTGCCTAGTGGTGGGCATCACCTCGGGCGTGTGGGTCTGGTCCGGCAAGACGCTGGAGTCCTGGCGCTCCCTGTGCACCCGCTGCTGCTGGGCCAGTAAGGGCGCCGCAGTGGGCGGGGGCGCGGGCGCCACGGCCGCTGGGGGCGGTGGCGGGCCGGGGGGCGGTGGCGGCGGGGGGCCCGGCGGCGGGGGACCGGGCGGTGGCGCGGGCTCTCTCTACAGCGACGTCAGCACCGGCCTGACGTGGCGGTCGGGCACGGCCAGCTCCGTGTCTTATCCAAAGCAGATGCCATTGTCCCAGGTCTGAGCGGAGGGGAGGCGGCGCCCAGGAGGGGTGGGGAGGGGGGCGAGGAGACCAAGTGCAGCGAAGGGACACTTGATGGGCTGAGGTTCCCACCCCTTCACAGTGTTGATTGCTATTAGCATGATAATGAACTCTTAATGGTATCCATTAGCTGGGACTTAAATGACTCACTTAGAACAAAGTACCTGGCATTGAAGCCTCCCAGACCCAGCCCCTATTCCTCCATTGATGTGCGGGGATCTCCTCCCGCCACGCGTTAATTTCTGTTGGCTGAGGAGGGTGGACTCTGCGGCGTTTCCAGAACCCGAGGTTTGGAGCCCTCCCTGGCTGCACTTGGCTGGGTTTGCAGTCAGATACACAGATAACACCTGGGAGAACCTCTTTTTCTCCCTCGACTCTCTTACGTAAACTCCCACCCCTGACTTACCCTGGAGGAGGGGTGACCGCGACCTGATGGGATTGCACGGTTTGGGTATTCTTAATGACCAGGCAAATGCCTTAAGTAAACAAACAAGAAATGTCTTAATTATACACCCCAAGTAAATACGGGTTTCTTACATTAGAGGATGTATTTATATAATTATTTGTTAAATTGTAAAAAAAAAAAAAAAAAAAGTGTAAAATATGTATATATCCAAAGATATACAGTGTGTACATGATTTTGTAAAAAGTTTAGAGGCTTACCCCTGTAAGAACAGATATAAGTATTATATTTTGTCAATAAAATGACTTTTGATAAATGATTTAACAATTGCCCTCTCCCCCGCCTCTTCTGAGCTGTCACCTTTAAAATGCTTGCTAAGGACGCATGGGGAAAATGGACATTTTCTGGCTTGTCATTCTGTACACTGACCTTAGGCATGAAGAAAATTACTTGTTAAACTCTAGTTCTTAAGTTGTTAGCCAAGTAAATATCATTGTTGAACTGAAATCAAAATTGAGTTTTTGCACCTTCCCCAAAGACGGTGTTTTTCATGGGAGCTCTTTTCTGATCCAATAACAACTCTCACCTTAGTGGATGTGAATGGAACTTCTGCAAGGCAGTAATTCCCCTTAGGCCTTGTTATTTATCCTGTATGGTATCACTAAAGGTTTCAAAACCCTGCATTCATTTCTGGAGTCCGTGATTTTGAAAGCACCTGGTGTTCCAGGGAGGGAACGCATTGCTGAGGTGTAGAGGTTAATGTTTTAAACCATACCTCACCCTTTACTGTAGAAGTCACTTGACAATCTGGTAGGGGAGCAGGCGCCCTTCAATGGATTAAACTAACGGGTTAACATCTTAATAACCTTCAGCGCTTGTGTATACCAAATGTGCTGCTTTTCCTAGAGAAAAAAGCTATTGTTCCTCTGTCAAGACTAAGCTAATTTATTTGAGCAGAAGGCTGTTGAATTAGCAGAAGAATGCTTCGGCAATTGTTGAACTTTTTACCTGTCTGCCCAGTGGCTCAGCACATCATTCCTTTAAGAGGAGCTAAATGAATAGGGTTAATCTGTAGGGAACTTGGTCTTTTGAGTTTGAAAAACTTTGATCTTTTCTCCTCTGCAAATGTGCTGTATAGTCTGAAGTTTCTTTCCCTGCTGCCTATCTCCTCTTAGTGCAGACCAATTGGCCACCGCGGAGCCTTAAAGTTCTTCCATTAAAGGGATGTGGGACTTTTACTTTAAAAAGGAGAGAGAGCGCGAGAGAGGAAGACTTGTAACAGTTAGTGAAGACCGGAGGCACAAGTGCTCAGCCTTTTAAACAGCTTTTCCCGGCATTGTTAGCCAGCCTGCAGGCAGCTAGGCATGGGTTGAAGCTTTATAGAAAAGGGCTCTGAATGCCCCACAGGTGGTCTGTGCACATAATCCCCCAATTTAAAGCGTTTTCCTTTGCTAGACAATTGCATTACAAAACTCCCTTCTTTTTCGCTCCTAATTGAACCAATGAACTATTATAAACTACAAGTTTTTCTTAAAAAAAAAAAAATCGCCAGTGCCTAAATTCTATTAACTAAATTCTAGCAAGTTTTACAAACTCAACCTTTTAAGGCACCGGAAGTAAAGGCTGCTTCAGCAGACCTTTCTGTTTTGCGGATATTTTTATTCCTTATGCTTGTTATTTTCTGATAGATTAGCAATAATTTAAAAGTAATTGGTAAGATTCTGTGTTAGTACTGAAAAGATAGCCCCAGGTCCCTTATTAAGCTGTCAATCAAGATAAGAAATGGGCAGCTACCCTGCTAATGATGGGGCATCAATCATTGTGGGATGGGAGGGGCTTTGTTCTGCACATCCTGCTAAAATGTTTGTTCTCCTTACTTTACCTAATAGGAATCTTCAGTGGTTAAAAAAATTTTTAATAGGGTGGACACTACTTTCTTGGCTGATTTTTCTCATGTAAGAGGCTTCGCAGAGGATCTCCATGGTAGCAACATTTTGCAGATCCTTTTCAAAGTCAGTATCGGTGTTAATTAAGTTAGATATGCAATTAGAACCCCTGCTTTAGCTATCATGCCAATCTTATTTTTTAAAGCCAGAGACACTGTAAAAGTGTGTTCACCTCTCCAGTAGTTTTACTCTTAAAGAATTACTATTTTGTAACTTAGGTACCAATCAGTGGCCTACATCTAACCCAGTTATAAAGTAGAATTTTGAGGGTAGGTCCCAAAGTCTTGACCACGTTTGTAGGATGGAGATAAAGCTACAAGACACAAGTTAGCATGTTGGCTTTCTAATGTAGCAGGATTTTGATTATTGACAATTTTCAACTGTGTAACAGTGAGAAAATGTCCAACTTTGAAGCTTTTTACCTTATTCTTCAGTATAGCATTATAAAATGCTATATTTCATAACTCAAGATCTATATGTGTTCAATCTAAGTGAGCTTATTTGACAGCCAAAACCCCAATTTAAATTCTGAGGACAGTTCTCAATTAAAAAGACCTGCACCTGTAATCACTAGAGACTAATTTTAGAGAATGGTATTAAGACATAAGTGCTGGTTCTTTGCCTTTAAAGCTAAAACCTGAGTTGCATATTTGCCAATACCCAGATGGTATCTACTAAGGGAACAAAACCCCAAAATTGATTTTAGGGTAGAAGAAAGAAAGAAGAGTATCTGGCCAGTTGCATTAGACAAATGAACACCCCTGTGTGCTACACAGGTGTGTCTTTAATTACATAAAACAAGTGTTAGTTTTTGAAAATCTTGTCAAATTGGGAGAGGGGTTGATGTGTTTGCTGTGTGGCTAGAAGATCAAGGTCGAGTCTAACATGATTAAAACCATTACTAAAGCCAAAGCTCATTAAAATTGCTTGTAGGAGAAGTTACGTGAAACACTTTTCTTGCTTTATAATAAAAGCAATTTGAAAGTACCATGAAACAGAACGGGGGGAAGTGTATAAGAAAGTTTAAGGAGTAAACCATGGCACATTACAGTTTCTTAACCTGCACTGACTGCATTGCAGGTGCCTGTAATACTTCAGAGTTTGGGCAAAGAGAGTGAGATTATCTTGCCAAAAGAAAACCAGGAGCAGCTGCAGAGCACAGGATGCAATTTAAAGTGTAGGTGCAAACGTTCTGTTGAGACATAAAAAGCAAATCAGTGCAAGTGTCTATCCACTTTCCACATTTGATACTACACTGCCATCTCGTGGTAGTACAGGGTCCCAGAACCAAGAAGTTAGGGAGGTTCCGTCATTCAATTCATTCATTCAAAAACAGCACACGGAGAGCCAGCCCAGGCACAGGCACAGCCTCTGCCCAGAGGACCTGCAAACATTTTGTATTCATAATTTTGAATCCTTTCTCTGAAGGGCTCCAAAATTGCATCAGTGCACACTGAAGTTTAAGGCCCCACAAGACATCCCCACCATGCAGTGATTTTATTAACTTCAATTGCATTAAGTCCTGCATATAACCATTATGCTAAAAATATAATTAAGCTGTGTTAAATTCCAAGAGTATATCTTTTTTTAAATTAGCTTCTGAGTTACTTTTATTTAAAGAATGAAATGCTCGCCAAAGTTCCACCATATCAAAGCTTTCATGGAAGAAAGAATGAATAATAAAGAGTATTTTGAGGTGGGATGTGGTTGGCTTAATTAAATGTGCCGCTTTACAATTTCTCATGTAGAGGTCAACCTCTGAGACCAGGAGACGCCCGTCAGTGCTGTACGTGAGTGCTGTTAGGGTGGGCAAGACACAGGCCATCCCTCATTTTACCTAGCCGAGTGTTCACAGAAACACACCAAGGAGTAGAAACTTCCCTGGAAAACAAGATCGGTGAGCATCTGCATTGGAACACTGGAGCCCTGGGGAAGGAAGATGACATAGCACCGAGATGTGAGAAGAGCAGGACCTTAAAGAAGGATGAGCAGAGCTAGGAGCGGTGGCTCACGCCTGTAATCCCAGCACTTTGGGAGGCCAAGGCAGACAGATCACCTGAGGTCAGGAGTTTGAGACCAGCCCGGCTAGCATGGTGAAACCCTATCTCTACTAAAAATACAAAAATTAGCTGGGCGTGGTGGTTGGCACCTGTAATCCCAGCTACTCAGGAGGCTGAGGCAGAAGAATCGCTTGAACCTGGGAGGCGGAGGCTGCAGTGAGCCGAGATCAGGGCACTGCACTCCAGCCTGGGTGACAGAGCAAGACTTTGCCAAAAAAAAAAAAAAAAAGAAGGATGAGCAGAGAAACGAGGTTTCTGAGGACTGGAATGTCTAGTGGAGATGGGAGGGAAGGAGGAGACTGTGGCCAAGGACCACATAAGATCTTGGAGGACTTGTAGAGTTAAGAGGCCCCGGGGCAAGAATCTTGCTGCCCATGAACAAGGAGCAGGGCCAAGAACCTGCAGCATTGTGGAAATGTGGAATCTCATATCTCTCTTACTGAATCAGAAACTGCATTTTAACAAGATCCCCAAGCTTCACAGGCACACTGAAGGGTAGGAAGGTCTAGCCCACCATCCCACATTTCACTCGTTAGAAAACAAGCCCAAAACAACTGTGCTTACTGAACATCACACAGTCAGGAGCACAGCTGGGCCTAGAAGCCACCAAGCCTACTTGTCACTCCTGTCTCTGTAGATCTTTTCCAGCTGTCCCACTCTTCTGTGTAAACCTCTGAGGCCACCACAAGGAGAATTCAGGCTGGGCATGGTGGCTCACACCTGTAATCCCAACACTTTGGGAGGCTGAGATAGGAGGATCACTAGAGGCCAGGAGTTCAAGACAAGCTTAGGTAATATAATGAGACTCCATCTCTATAAAAAATAAAAAGCCAGGTGTGGTAATGCATACCTGTAGTCCCTTGGGAGGCTGAGACAGGAGGATCACTTGAGTCTAAGAGTTCAAGCCTGCAGTAAGCTATGAACATGCCACTGCACTCCAGCGTGAGCAATAGAGAAAGAGTCTATCTCAAAAAAAAAAAAAAAAAATGCATTCTTAGCTGATACAGCAACTTACCAGGGCTGTGTTTACCTGTTTACAGTATCATAGCAGAGTTTTCCCATGGTTTGGTGGTGGCCTATACAGGACATGTGAACGCCCAGCCTTCAGAGGTGAGAGGAGCACTGTGGAAAGGCTTGACTCTTGGGACCCCGGCCAACTTAGGCCAGCTTGCCTGCTTTTTGCCTTCTACGGCCACAATGTTCCAATAGATTCCATATTTAAGAGTCTATGTTCTGGCTTAGTGAGAAGGCACAGTGACTGGGAGTGATATGGTTTGGTTCTGTGTCCCCACCCTAATCTCATTTTGAATTGTAATCCCCA